CCCCACAATGTTCAGTGCATGTCTCCCGGGTCCCAGCAGTTGTCTAGTGGCTTTCTTCAGAATGGGGGGACTTGTGTTTCTGTAGATGTCTTTAAACATGGCATATGGCAGAACCGTAACATCGGCACCAGTGTCAATCTTGAATGAGACGTTTCTGTTATTTATTTCAACATCCACTCTCCAAGGTTCATCCCCATTTGTAATGCTGCCTAAAAACAAAAATTCATTGTCTCTTTCAACAGCATGTACAGTCTTGAGCGTTCTACACACCCTCTTATAATGTCCCTTTTTTCCACATAAATGACATTTCTCCCCATTCGCTGGACAGTCACGTTTGGGATGGGATGGAGAGCTGCCACACTTAAAACACTGAGAAATCTCCCTTTTATTAGTCGCAGAAGTGTGCGGCTTGGATTGATATTTAGACTTAGGATGCTTACCACTGCTTTTATACACTCTGTCAACAGATTTTCCATTTTCAGTCTCTGATCTGGTATCAGTTCGCAGACAGGATTGCTGCCGTTTCACCTCTTCACTTTGTCTTGCTGAATTAATAGCCTTTTCCAGTGTCAAATCTGGGTCGAGCTGCATACGTTCAGATAACCTTTTATCCTGAAGACCCACCACCAATCTGTCACGAATCAGTTCATCATGTAGCGCTCCATAACTACAATGTTCTGCTAGCGCATACAGTGAAGTAACAAAGGCATCTACGGTTTCATGCTCCTCTTGTTTGCGCATGTTAAACCTGGCTCGCTCATAAATGACATTTTTCTTGACAACGAAGAAGGCTTGGAAACCATCACGAACTCCTTGATACGTGTTTCTGTCAGCGTCTGGTAACGCTAATCCCCGCAGAACATCATCCGCTTCGTCTCCCATGCAATAAATAAGCGTATTAACTTGATTCTCCTCCGAACTAGAGTTCAAGTTACTTGCCAGACGAAACCGTTCGAATCGTCGTATCCACTTGGCCCACTCCTGTGGCTTTGTGAAGTCGAAAGACTCTGGCGGCTGGATGCTGAACGTTGCAGACGGACCAACAGAACCAACTCTCTGTACGTCGTCCTCAGCCATGTCTCCAGTAGCCGAATGAAGTTGCAGCCTCACGATGATTTACAGCACTCCTGACACCATGTCGTGTTATTGAAAGAGTGCGCTGAGTCAAACTGTATCATCGTGATTAGTTTATTTGGAATCACCAAACTCCCAGCATGGGCATCCACATAGCAATCAACGTCACCTGGACTACCTGAGCCTGACGCTCTTTTATGACGTCATCACAGGTGGCCATTTGTAGTTTTTAACCATGCATAACATTAACACCACACAGTACAGTCCACAGGCAATGCTGTACTACTGTACTCGTTGAGTACAGCTTAGATACTCGGTACTGCAGTTTTCTAGAGAGAGTTACGGTGGCCACTGTAGAGAGTAGATGTCTTACATATTCTCACTTTGGAAAGTCCAGATGATGGATGCCACCGCATACCTGCTCAAATTTGGTTGAGCAGATACACTCAACCAAAT